GTGTGACCTGTTTTGGTTGAGTTTCATTGCTTCAGTGTTAACACCCCCTAAACACTGAACACCAATCAGAAGTGACTTTCAAATAAGAAAATGGAGCAGAAGAGCCAAACAAAATGTGTGGCAATACACCTGTTCCCTGGTCTTTTATTCACTCCATTACCTCACTGTAATTTATAAAAACACTTAGTATGACTTTGGGTAAACTGCTTAACTTCTTCTCGGCTGCACTAAAATTGCATTCTCTCCCAGTGAGGGAGGGTTTGCAGAATTACTTTTATCAGTGCACTGGTGTGACCCTCCACATGGCTAGTTAGTATTTGTTATGGACACTGTCAAATGATTATTGCAAAAAGTTTGTAGGATTAAGGTAGAACACGAGTCAGGAAACCAGGAACTGGCCAATTATCACAGTATGCCAGAGCAGTTAACACACAACTAGAACATGGGTGCATCTCTGATAATCACAACCCACAGTGGGCCCAGAGGGAGAACTTTATACCAGCAAACACTAAACATAAATTACAATAATAAATAATAAATGGTCACCCCATAATAATAAACATTCAACTCTCCATGTAAAGTATATTTGGTCCCAAGTTTTCTTTTAGCATTGATAAAGTAACACATCAAAGCTACATTACACATGGCAACAACAGATTTTATACAACCCATAGACTATTTAATATTTTAAATTATTGATTTTAAATGTGCAATGTTTTAATTTTAATATTGCAACATTCTGCATTATTGTTATTATTATGAAGGGAGGCAACTGCCTGTCTGGAAATGCATCTGACAGAAACCTGATAATACAGCCCACAAATAATGCAGAGCAATGGACAATAATAATCTAGTGTCCGAGGGAACCAAAGAGTTCTGAGATGAGTGTGTGCCAGTGTCATTTTGCCCACCATAAATCCAACATGGACTTCCTTGAGTGTCAACCCAGGCTCCCACATTGAGAACCTGGCAACTAACCACCAGAGCTGTGACACGACCCAAGCAGCTGTGGACTTTGTCTAAGGTCAGTTGATGAATACAGCCTGCCATGATGGAATTTTGTTTTGGGGAATAAATTCAAGGTTGGCAAATATGACCGAGATGTATCTTAATCTGTAAATGTAATATTTTTAACATCATACAATTTTGTTCATTGCTGTATATTGTGAGAGACAAGCAAAATTACACTTGCCAACATATAATCCATTTCATAAAACACTTTTTGGTAGAGCCTAAAAATGGTTAAATTTGGACGAAGCCTATAGTTATTTATCTAATAAGTAGCTTGTTATTTTCTTGTCTATTTTTTAAGGATAAGCAATAAAATATCACTGATTGTGTGAGGCAGAAATAAAAAGCACCATTCCTTAACTTTATAATTTGTAATGGATATATCAGATACAAACTCAGAAACTAATGTAGGCCATGTATTATCACTGCGTTTGGGTGCTGCTAGTGGATTTCATCCAGAGGAGGTGACACAAGTGAGAAACTCTGCGATACATATTACAGAAGTCGCACGTAAGCAGGCAAATTCATATGTACTGAAATGTCCTTACTCCAGTGTTTATAAGATAAGAAAAATGTTATGTCTCTGGCAACAAGATTATAAACTTGTATCTTCACTGTAAAACAGAGACTAGGCTTATACAAATTAAACAGCTATCTCTGTTGTATTTGACTCTGAATGTTCAACACAGCCTATCTCAGTGTCTATCATCGGACCTCACTCACCTCACAGTAATCCACATTATCAACACAGATTTATTAACATATAATTTCAGGTCCTCACAGCAATGAATATGAAGATATGTTCCGTGTGGTTTGCTGCGCCATGTAGTCTGGCAGAAGTTGACCCACATTTCAGAGGTACTTGCTGCCTCAAACATAATCTCCCTGATGATGGAGGTAGTAAGCACTTCTGAAATGTCTGTAATCTTCTACCACATGATAGCATTACAACCCACAGGGCAGCTACCTTCTTAAAAGGTAAGTTTAAACATTTTCAACATGTTAAGTGGATCCCATGCCACCATGGCACAGGTTGTCCCCTGCGGAATGAGAGGATGTCCAAACACAGAATGGGCGGAGTGCTATGACCTACTCACTGTAAAAGTTCTAGTATGTTATAAAATGTTAGACATGGCAAATTTCTTGACTAGCTGAGCAAATTCTCAGCTTCTAGAAAAGACTGTACTTCAAGGTGTTAATAACCCATTATGTTACTGTTATCACTGTCTGCATGACCATTATTTTGCTAATACCTGCTGTTTATATGCATGAACCAAGTTAATGAATATGGCAGTGTGAATGTTGAATCTCACTCTGTGCACCATACCACAGTTACAGAGCACAAATATCAGCCAAGGCCTAATCAGAACAGCAAAATTTATAATATTATGTAACATGAAGGCAACATGCCCCTCAGTTTCAGCACCTGCTATAAAAGTAACAGAAAGACCAGACAAAAACTATTCTGATGCAACACATACTAGAACTTTGCAAAATACTTGTGCTGACCTAGAAAGTGTGATCAGCCTTGTGACACTGAGTGCCTGGTAACTGGTCTTCATCATCATCGACAATGATGCTGTGATCCAGAAGAAGTAATTAGGGCAGAAGTACTACCCTTGCCCTGATATCATCCCACATGGTGTCCTGTAATATAAAACAAAAGCATTAATGGTACAGAACAGAGTGCTTACTGCAGATTGGCACCTGGCAAAGCAGACGTGAGAACACCTCAGTTTAAAAGACCTTCAATTGTCAAGAAAGTGCATACAAGGATCATGAAATGAAGTCTTCTGTGTGGATATAAACTGTAGAGCAATATATAAGTGTTTTGCAATGTCACATTTACTGGGAGGGAAGTTTCAAGTTGTCTGGTCATGTACTGAGAGGTTTCTTCTAAAATTTTGACCTGTCACTAAGTTTTGCAGTGTCTTCCTATGCCTCCTAATGTAATTTTACTACTTAACTACTGCCAGTGTTTCAAGATTTATTGTACACAAGATGTTCCATTAGGAGGAGCCATTCCCATAGGGGCAAAGGGCCTGGGTGAAGCAGTCTATGTGGGGCTATTCCATAAGATTTGTAGAGGAAAGAAAAATCAGATCAGATATCTTGTAAGTTTTACTTTACTTTACTTTACTTTACTTACATTGTAATAAGCATTCTTATCACTATCCTAAGATTATAATTAAACCAATATACTTTGGGTTAATTTTCTTTCTATAGGGTGCTTAATTTGTCAATCAGCATTAAATATATCATACATCATTATGTCAAAATGTGGGGCCCTGAACACTCACCCCAACCTATGGATAGCTTGCTGCTGGGAATGTAAACCAAACTTTTTATTTATTTACTTAAGTTAAAAAAATCAAAAGAAGAAAACATAATCAAAAAAACTTTACTGAAACTGTGCACTAGGTTTTCTTATTAACACAGTAGGGCCCCAATTATCTGACCTTCGGTTATCTGACATTCCCTTTTATCAACATGCCATGTCAGAATGCTCCATTTTATCAGCTATCAACTCAGTATGTAGCAGAATGAATCACACTTCCTGAAAAAGCTCCTACATTTTGTGAAATCAGTTTCTTTAGAGTGCCTTCATTATTGGTTTTGGAAAGAATTTGGTGTTAGCAGTGTTACACTCACGTTTTTCTTCAGTCTTCTGAATTATCTGACATTTTTAATTATCTGACCATCCTTCCATCCTGTTTAGATTTGATAATCAGGACTCTACTGCATTAGATCCATGAACAAGGCAGTTTAGAACTGAAATATTTATATTGTATGGTAACGGATGTGGGAAAAGAACTTGGTGTAGAATAGATGCCTCTTGATTTCCGAGACTCACTTAAATATCGTCTGCTGGTTGTTTTCTCCTTTTACTTCAAAAGGCATAGCCCTTGACAATATTTCACACACCAAAACACCAAGGCTTCACCAATCAGCTGTCTGCAACAATTCAAATTAGAGCAGCAGCTGCAATCAGTCACTTTCATTTCTCCACACCTTCCCTCACAGATGCTCAAAAGGGCCTCCAGAAACAGGGAAATAAGGATATGAACAAATAGAGCTGTTTATTTCTTGCATCCAATTTTAAATGCAACATTTCTAAGAATAAAGAGCTGCTTTCTTCATAAATCAAGATGACACAGGTATTGTAGTCAGACAAAACTATGCTGAGTTTTCCTATGGTTTTCCTTGTACATTTTTTATTCATAAGTTAAAAGTCACTTTCTTAACTTCACTTTTCAATTAATATTACAAAATCATACTGTATTTACATTTGACATTTATGACCTCAAAAAATGAGTTAGCAATATTAACAAATATAATTAAAATCCGATCCCGGGTTCTTCCAGGTGGACAAATAAACAGACAGACATCTAACAAAAATAAACAAGGTAGCAGGAGTATTTCTGCAAATTTTAGTTGCTAAGGTGCCTGTGTTTTTAATGACTTTGACGTGTATTTATTACACTGCTGCAAGCTGAAACACATATCTTGTTAAAACAAGTTGTTGAAAATGTTGATGTGTACTTTAGTACAAAAAGTGAATGCCACACTATATTTAACATTTAAATTTCAGTTTATGTATTAGACGTTAATATCTTGAAAGTTTTGAAGGATAATGGAGGCAACATAAACATTTACAGCTACTTTATCTTATGACAGCATACAAACAGACAAAGAATTAATAAGTGTTACTGAGTACTTCAGTGTCTCTCCAGTGCTTGTAATTTAAATTCCACTTTCTTACAAATATGCATTAGCTATTCCTTCAGATACCAGGCAGGTGACTGCACCAGTTTCAGGAATCATACTGGTGGTTCAGTTACATGAAACTACAAAATCATTATTTTTACATCTTCATGGAATGGAATACTTACCATGATGTGTCCTGTCCCCCCACTGTTTCAGGGTCCATGTATTGTGGTGTACTGCAGAAAAAGTATGTTAGTTTATCCTGCTGAGAAAACAACATTTTTAAATAAGTTACGTGTGATAGGACTTGAGACACAAAGATGCTACTCACTATATGTGGTACTACAAGCAAAACATTGAGGACTGGTAACACTGAAGATTGCCACTGGAAGCAGTTCAAAGCCAGTTAAGTTCATCACCTATCCTCACAACCTGTTTATCTAACATATAGGTTAATGTGTATCCTGTCTCCATCTTGGTCTTAGCGATTATGCCCTTGAAAGCATCCATAATGTTGAACAGTGTCACTGAGGATATTGTACTCAATCATGAATTATTCAAAACATTACACAGAGGATTATTGATAAAATATCAGGGTAACAATTAAGCATTGATATCACTTCACTTTTGCCAGACCACTGTTCTGAGAAGATATTCAAGAACATGGTCAGCCATCACAGAAAGATAGATACTGCTGGAAAATACATTTTCAATAGCCTTAATTTAGGGATAACAAAATCTGTACCTTTTATGACTTTTTTCAGTCATCTGTTATGAATTCTTGAAAAAAGGAAAGATCTCCGATAATTTGATACAAGAATTGTATGTAAGATTTGGCTGAGTTTATGAATTTTACAGTTAGATATCAGCTGTTCATTACTGTAAAGCAAGCATATCATACTCGCGGCCCAAAACGAATATTTTTGCGGCCCAGCCAATATAACGATATGTAAGAAACGTTTTAATAAAAATTTCGTAACTTAATTTGAAGGCAAAATTCAGTGAAGTTGGCGTGCCTGGATTTTACAAATATTTACCTGCCAGGTTTGAAAATACTCGAAAATTCGCATATGAAATTATTTCCATGTTTGGAAGTACTTATCGGTGTGAGCAGTTATTTACAATTATGAAAGGAAATAAGTCTCCTGTCAGATCCAGAATTACTGACATTCACCTTGGGTTAGTTTTGAAAGTAATCACTGCGAACAAGATTTCCCCCGAAGTAGGAAAGATAGTAGCAGAGAAGAGATGCCAAGTGTCAGGAAGAAAACATTAATTTTATCATTGTTATTGTTCTTCTTTTTTTTATACTATACTTTTCGAAATAAACCTACGTTTCTATTAAAATTGATTTTTTTTGCGGCCCACATAAACTTGAACCTTGTTTATTTGGCCCGTGTTAGCCTTTGAGTTTGACATGCTTGCTGTAAAGGTTTGTACACAGTTAACAGCTGAAACTGTAATCTCTACAACTTTCCTGCAGTGATGTAGTCCAACAAAAAAATTAAGTGACAGTTAGTGAACTGGTGTTCAGTAAAGGCTTGTTCACACACAGCCAGTAATTTAGTCGAGTAGCTAGTAGTAACTAACACTAAAATGGTTTAGTCGCTTTTAATGTGTCCGGACTAGTACAGTTGAGCGTTTGAATTCATGCAAGATGGACAGACGACACCGTGCAGTTATAAATAATGGTATCAGAAACCTTGCCAATTTTATATTAGAGGAAATTGAAGAAGAAATTTCATACGAACGAAGGCGACTGTGGGTTAGAAAGTGGATTAGTATAAGAGATTTATTGGGGGCTTCAAGTTGTCTTCTCAGAGAACTAGAATTAGACGATCCAGCAGAATACTTGAACACACTCAGGATGTCTGAAACTAATTTCGATTTCTTGTAAAACAATGTTAAAGCTCGAATTCAACGAAGAGATTCTCATATGCGCAGTGCAATTCTAGCAAAAACGAAACTTCAAACCATCCTGTACTTGCTTGCAACGGGATGCAGCTTAAGAACCCTGCAACATATTTTTAGACTTGGGAAATCAACAATTTCTAGTTTTATTCCAGAAGTTTGTGAAGCTATTTACGAATCACCGAAGGACTTCGTAAAGTAAGGTAACAAAAATTATTCTTTGTACATTTTTAACTGTTTATTTCATTTGTTCCTACAACATAATTTTTCAGAAGATGGTTAATCGTTGTTGTTATTATTAAAGGTAAAGTACATGGCACGCGCAATAATGTAGTCCGATGATGAATCATTGGAGTGAGACTGCTCTGAGTACTCTTGAGCAGAAGTAAAGTTTGTATCTTGATTGGGTGATTGGATATTTGCGAACCCTGAAGTCAAACTCATAGAATCTATATGGCGAAGGAGTCGGAACTGGAATTTGTTTCCAACGTGTGTCCTGACGAGGAAGCTGATGCCCAAGGTGCTGCAATCGAGCTCTAGTCAAATATGTTTGGATGTGCTGTTGGGTTTGCAAAGCACTTTCTAACGGCATTGCCTTCAGTTGCAAGCCAACATTTCTTGGCGATGGTGAAGAGTCAATTGAATACAAATTTTCTTGGATATTATCCATCGTCTAGTAAATATAAAACGTAAAACGACGTTTCGGAGATTGGACTCTATCTCCGTCTTCAGATTCCTACACAGTTGGACCCACTAGATAGAGCTAATCCCTATCTCCGGACAAAGTAAAAAAGTGAAAGTCCCGGAATAAAAAGGCATTACCACACCATCCATCCGTGGGACGTAAACGAATAGTATGTAGAAATCAAAATTCATAAACACGATAAAGCCAAAAACAAAAACTCACAAAAGGTGGGAATAAATACACATGAATATTAATTCGAAACTCAATGCCCAACTTGTATTTCTTCGGAGATTACAGGTATCCAAATAGGAGATAAATCCAAACTAGGCTGGCTGATAGGGTTGGCGAGTAGTGCCATGTGTGTCGCCTCCTTGTATTTTCTGTAGATGGTATTGGGTTCTGTTAATAATACTCTGGCTCCATCCCAACAGACATGATGATCTTCTTCGTACGCATGTTGGGCCAATCTGGATTTCTCCAGCAGGCCCTGTCTGAAATTATATTTGTGTTCCTTTAAGCGTACCTCCAGAGGTCTGCTGGTTCCCCTTTTAACGTGGGGAGTGGTTTACAGTCTGGTCAATAGAGCATACATCATATGTCCAGAGAAAAACAATTTTAACAGAGAAATTCAGAACATCAAACATGATCTATCTCTGAATGGGTATCCCCGACAGTTAATTGAATCTGTTATTAAGTCCGAAAAAAAACATCCGGCCTTCTCCTGACAGAACGCCTCTGGGTACGGCGGCTATCCCATATGTCAGAGGTGTCTCTGAGAAATTTAGAAGAATTGGGAACCGATAAAACATCAGGACAATCTTTAAAACCGGTCACACTCTCCGTGGTTTATTGATGTCCATGAGACCCAGAACAGTCGAGAGACAGACTAGGCAGTGTGTGTACGGGATCCCTTGTGACTGCGGTAGATGGTATATCGGCGAAACCAGCAGACCTCTGGAGGTACGCATAAAGGAACACAAATATAATTTCAGACAGGGCCTGCTGGTGAAATCCAGATTGGCCCAATATGCGTACCACGTGCCTTTGATAGTACCACATATCCCATGCAGATAAAGGTGATGCTCTCAGTTAACAGATGCATTATTTATTAATGGTATTTTGTATGGTACTTCTAAGTATTTTAATGTGCAAGTAAAAAATACACGTAACTAGGAACTTGCTTTTAAGACAGCGAACCAAAGTCATAGTCGTTCATAAAAAAGAACATCCAACACCAGGGTCCGTGAAGTACTTTACTGTCCCACTTTACTATTCTTTAATACATATATATTTAACTCTCTCCCAAGTAAACTATAGTTTTTAAATCTCAGCTTACAAATTTTTTACACTGCCGTTCTATTTTAAAGCTGAAAATCACTCTTGAAATGTCAACGAACATTACAGCAACTCGTCAACGATAGGTAGGGCACATCAGAGAAAATATCGTGTCAAAGAAATAAAAAACATACAGAGAGACTGGACTGTTCTAAACTTCTGTGACATTCCACTAGGTTATGACTGTCAGTACGCTTTGTCTGACGTATTTCAGTTGTTAAAATTTATTTATCCGTGATCAGATTGTGTGTCTTAGACCAATATTGAATGGAAAGTGCAACTAACATTCGTTTGATGTTCTCAGAATTTGAGGAGCAGAACTCAGAAGCACAGAACCCTTTTAATTGTAGTACATCTGTGTGCAATTCGTATGGTTTTTCACCATAAATAAACAAATAATATAAACATAAATTACCAATGTTAGAAGATAGACTAATGGAAACTAAGTTGGATAAGGTAAAAGGACGACTAAGATGTTATTTTATGAGAAAATTTGTGGATAACACAGCTCACAGGGTATTGACAATTTGGTGAACTGAAGGATGTTACAATATGTATGGTACAGAGTCTTGGTGGGATAAACTTACAAAGAGCCAAGTTAGAAGATAAGGAAGCAGATGGAAATACAGAATTAAGAGGAATATTAAAAAGATAAATTCTTCAGGCATGAGAAAAATGATACTGGATGAGATCTGTATCCAATGGTTTTTGGAATTGAAAAGCTTAGTTTAACTACTGGGAAGTTAGTTACTAGTTGTTTTGTGTCTCAAATTGCTTTCATTGATTTGTAAAACGATGTTTCTATCAACGGCTTAAATGTGCATATTCCTTCTGCTGCACGCTTTTCTACATGGCTTCAGAGATCAAAGGCAAAGGACATACCATGGTAAGTTTCTTATACATTGACAATCTGACAATGATGATTTTATGGTTTCATGTGAATGAACCAACAATTATATTAATGTAAACAAATCAGGCATTAGAATGTAATAATCTGACTGAATGGATCCACAAATTTAAACTCCATGGGGGATAAGATGTTGTTCTGCCAATGCCCCCCCCCCCCCTCCACATGGAAGGACCAAACTGAAAAATTATTTTAAAATGTGTTTGTTTACCAACTGCTCATAATAACATGCATATTGGAGTTACTCCACATTACAGGCAGCAGAATATTTTATCTGTATTTGATGTAGTTAACTTTGTGCCATCTTGTGTTGTGACAGATTAATATTTGTTGGCAGATCGCATATTAAACACAGGTAGTGAACAAACACTGAACTGGCCAGTGATTATTCTGTAGTTCTGTCCTCTTGCTGCTCAAACAGGAAAGTAGCTTAGAGTATCAATGTTTTCTCCAAAACCCCCCAAAATATGGAAAAATATGTTACCAGCTTACATACTGAGATTTATGGAATAAAAGAAATGTATGAAGAGATTTTGAACTAAAGTAGAGAAGAACTTTTACCGTAACATGAACTAGTACGATTGTTAATAAATCAATTTTAAGGTACTGATGCAGCATTCACTATGCAAATCATACAAAAACTCAGCACAGTCTCTGCTGGGTTGGGACTAAACTCATACCAATGTGAAAAACTTAAATGGAGAATAAATAAATAAATATATACATATAGATCATACATAGGAATCGCCCATAAAAACGTAAGACAATAAATTAACAACACTTTGTTCATTCTGAAAAATCTGTTTTTTTTATATTTTTGTGAACATGTAAGAGTCTTTAGAACTGAAAAGTGACTGATTTTATCTGTTGCCCGAAATTTGTTTTTGTTGCAGGCAGTTGACTGGTGGAGTCTGCATATCCTTGTCAATGAGATGCACACAGGAGTCACTCCATTTGAATCAGAGGGTGAAGACAGCGACAACTTTGTGAAGCTTTACGAGTGAGCTATTGAGTTTGTAGTTTGTTGTAAGAGATGTTATGGGCAAGCTCCTTTAAACACGTTTCTATAGAAATTAGTTTGTTGCTATGTTTTGTTTTTAATATTAATAACCAGGCCCAAACACTTGAAGCACATGCTAAATAAATAAATAAAATAAATAGGGTGCTGAACGAAATGCAGTCTAATAACTGCCTGGTGACCAAAACCAAGTAATAACTGAAGATTGTACAAGGCTGTAATTGACTATGAGGGATAAGAAAGTAAAGTGTTTGAAATGTGTCCTTATTGATGATCTGTCTTAAACATCTGTTGTAACACCCACTTCACAGATGGCCACGTAAATCAACCAGTGATCAGGTCTCTCATAATAGAAATGACAGACATTAGACAAACTAATTACGAATGCATGTTTTTAATATGTATGTTTTTGTATAGAAATACAAGAATTGCCTTTTTCCTTTACAGCCGAATTCTGACAGAGAACCCAGAGATGCCTAGAGAGTTTTCTGCAGAAGTGGCAGAATTCATCACACAGTTGTTACAGAAGGACCCACGTTTAGGTGGAAGGAAGAATGGTGCCGAGGACATCAAGAGGCATCAATTCTTCAACGTGAGTTCTGTCTCCATGTCTTTTCTAGCACAGTACTGCATATAAATATTTCAGTTTTGAACTGTGTCTTGTCCATTTAACATATATTAAGAAAATCGAGGGTTGTCTTAGAAACCACACATTATGAGACTTTCGACACTTGCTTCTGTATGACTTTATTATTTTAAAATTTCAATAAGTGAAACATGTGGTTTACATCATGAGCAGAAATGCTTGTCTGTTAGAAATGTCATAACACTGACAGAATTTGTTTTATAGGTTGACAATAACAAGCTTGCATAGAATTTGCATAAATTTATAATAAGATATATAAGATCATGTAATTAAAAGTATAAATTTTATTTTATTACAATATTTTGTATAGTAAAGAGGTTCTGTTCTTAGGTTATGACTAAAGGATGTGATTTAATGAGGAATTATCACATGAGGGGAACGAAGGTTACTTGACATTTCTAGTACACACATACTTGGAGTTTGTTCCCAAGCTTTAAGAATTAACTTACACTGTTAGTCATACGTTGCCTTTGTGTAATCCTACTGTGTCACCCCCATGTGCATATTGCTACAATTCCCACTCCTTTGGCCAACACCTAAGATGAAACATATAAATACTCATGTTGTGAGCAATGTGGGGGAATTCTTTTGACTCCACACTCTAGTTAGTGCTACTGTGCACTACAACTTATTTTTCAGTTGTAAATTCTTCTTCACTTAGACTTAGATTCTGGAAGATGCAAGGATACCTCTAACTCTCCTTGAGTAGGACTTAGCTCCACTCCGAATTCAACAACCATCCCGAATACAAGACTTGTTCAACAATCATCATCTATGATTGAATAAGCAAACTGAAATCACAAGTTATTTCAAATTATTGACAGATGAGATTTGCTAATAACTTGCTTAGAATCTGTGCACATTCTCAAACACCCCTCCCAGCAATCTGCACTATTGTTAAATAACTTACAGCAGAGACCATTTATAGCCACACTGAAAGTTAATTTCAAAATCCTTGGTTTGTCTCGACAATTCAAGTGTCTGTTCAAATAAGATGTCCTTCCTTCTGCTTTGCAGTCAGTATTGTGGTCAGTGCCATTAATGCTTGTGTTTCATTTTCAGAACATCAACTGGGCTGATATGACGCAAAAAGCTGCCTCTTGATGATGTCATCTTTCTCGGCGCCGAAGATAATCACCATCTTCCATCCTCTGCTAAATCCCAGGATTGTGACATGACTTCCAAGGTCAGAACAGTTATTTTGTGTGATGTTTTAGTACACGGTGCATGAGGAGGGGCTTTATTTTGGGTGCTTCTACTGCCTTTGCTACAGGTGTTGGAAGCTGAGGGCTCTACTGCCACCAAGGTCTTGCAGTGATTAAGAATTTTGTGATTGTCCTTATGTCTTAGCTGGTTTTTGTGCTCTGTAACTCTGGTATCATGCATGCAGTCAACTTAAACATTCATGAAGAAGTTGTATGAACATAAAATGCAGGATTTGTCACAGTAATGATCATCATTCCAGACTGCAGACAAAGATAATAGTAACATTGGGGGTTGTCAACTACTAGAAATGTTTATTGTGACTGAAGAAAGTAAATGCCTTTCTGTTTGTCTTTATTAAGATAAGTTGATCTGAAATAATGGAACCGCTTTATCATAGTGGCAATGTTACAAACACATGGAGTACAATTTAATTGCCTGCAACAAAATATAAGAATGAGTTCTCTGTGCCAAAGCAGTGACAAGAGTTTACATGTCATTTCTAAGTTACAGCTATCTTCTCATAAAATAAGCAAACAAACAAACTACAGTGAAACCTCTATCCATCGTTCCCGGAACTATCGTTTTCCCGGATGCATCGTCCGTTTTGTTCGGTCCCGGATACATCCCATATAAAATAATGTTACATTTTCCCGCTTCTATCGTTCCTCGAACTATCGTTTTATCGCATCGATCGTTCAAAAATCTTAGTCCCGGCCCACAATTTTCCCGCAATGATCGTTTCTGAGAAATTAAAATGCTGGGTTTTGAGATAAATTAATACCGAAAGACGCACAATGTTTTTGGAATAAACAGTAGCGGTAACCTGTTATGTCGCCCAACCAGCACATTCTTTTGGAATGAGGGTCAGCGGTGCAGGGGTGATAGTTGGAGTGAATGGCGGTGCCCATTGTCAGAAATTTTACGATTTTAATTAGGGTGCACTCATATTTCGTTCCAGCGATGCCAGATGGCATGTGCAGTGTGAATTTCTTCACAAATGCTTTTATTACAAGTACAAAGGAAAGGCTGGCGGCACTTTTCATTC